AGCTTAGAAGTGTTTTTGAACCCGGTAATCTCTTTCACATCTTTTTGTTTCGTTAGGTCCACAGGCAGGATTAATAAGATCAGTTTCTGAGTATTGTGGAACTCTTTTTAAACACAAACCGATAATTAATCGCCTTTAGTCCGCGTCTATTCGTTAATTGGCTCGATTGTTCTGCTGTAACGACTAAATCGAATTTCGTGCCTTCGCAAATAACTAATCGTGTGCGTGTGTATGTAAGTGCCGCCTCGGCCCGTGTGATTTGTGCTTTCCCAAGTCTGTGTTTCTGCAAGTTCCACGCGCTGTTGCACGAACACATTTGTGCATGCGCTACCAAAACTTTTGCCAAACGTTCATTTTTACGTGCGAAGCGGCAAACATAAGACAAAACTCTTCAACCTGTTAACCGGAAAGGTTTTTCTCTACCACTTTTCCTCGTGCCAATTCGTTCGGCGATACGCCGTAAGGCGTATCTTTCAATTTAGCCATTTGGTTACGAAAATACGGAGATACGGCTGCAGTCATTAGCAAAAATTAACCGATAAGCAAACAAAAAGCAGCCGGAAACTACTAATATTGACAGGTAAACACGTAACTCCGGTTCACAGGTTTACCATTATCCATAAAACACAAAGAAATTAGACACGATACGAAAGATTGTGCTAACCCTAGGAACAAGCAGATCATTCATCGATCAGGCAAATGAAAAATTCAAGGGAAATATCAATTGTACGGTGTTAAACGTCGAACTGCTTATTCCTGGGAACAGCTGATCATTTGCTATGTACGAAAGAAGCGAAGAGGGGCGTGACATTTACATATAGACAGTAATGTACACGTGTGTGTCGTGAACTGATCCCATTTTCCAAGCCTACAGAGAGAATTGGAGGTTACAAGAAGAAAATGAGATACCATCGATGGTGGTTGACTCAATATGAGTATATACTTTTCCATTGGAAATCTGTACGTCGTTACAAGGATCATAATCGTTTAAATCCTCGTCACTCTTTAGTTTTGCAAGGATCTTGCGTCTTTGTTTCGTACCGACTGACTGCATAGCTAAAAGCACATTAGGGGACTGAATGCCGAAGGAAGATATCAACGCGTCCGTCCCGAAAACGAATGCCGCGCCTATGAGAAATCCAACTCCGACCGGTACGAACGCATATTCGCCGTTCCGTCCATAAATTTCGCTCTTTGACGCCATTTCGATAGCAGGTGCCAGTAGCGACCAGTAACTAGCCGCTATCATTACGCCCGCCGCAAATCCTAGGCTGATGTCCAACAGTTTGCGCTGAAACAGAATCGTTTCGACCATTTTTTTTTCTCTCCATCCGATTAGCTTCGCGAAGAGTTTCAATTCCTTTCTATTTCTAAGTTCTCATTGTTAGATCAGACATGAAAGTCAATTTAGAAATACAAAAATGTTGAAGTATAGAACTGAATTCAGTGTCTTTTCTTCTAATCGATCACAAAGGAATTTTACATTTAAATATTCTTCTTTCATTCAGCTTCGAGATTTTTCAGTTTTCTCTTACAAACGAAGTGACACGAAGTACCGGAGAATTTTGCGGGAATTTCTTTTGTAAATAGATATTAAATTTGCTTAGAGAAAACAACGAACTCATTTCGTTTAATATTGTTTTAACGATTACAACATTCGGATCGCGCGGCAGGAAGTTGAGCCGGTTCGAGACAACGAACTGCAGTTCGACCTCAACTTCCGGAAGATAAAGAGTAGACGCTGAGCTGAATTTGAAATTCCACGTTTCGGAAATTTGCCAAAAACAACTAAGAATTCTTTATGTTATAAACGAGGCGTAGATTCGAAAACTTCAAACGGAAGTGCTTGCATGAGCACAGACGCTCGGCGTCATCTAATCTTATCTAATAAAAACTTTGTAACCGTGTGTTGGTATTCTTTCGCCAAGACCAGAAGTGCAAATACGGAGCAACAGATAACAATGAACTTCATGATACATTGTAAATATTAAACAGTTTCGGGGGAAATGAATTGAAGTAGCAATGTATCGAGGAGCGGGCTATCGCCGACCGATTCAGATAGAAAAACATCAAGAACAACCAAAATGAATCGAATTTATCTGACGATAAATTAGTGAAATTTATTTGACGAACGGTCAGCGCAGAATGATAAAACGTGCTTATGAAACAAGTTTCAATAAAGCAGCCATGCGACCCAATATCATTAATTATTTTGTAATTAACAATTAGTCTTTACATTTTTTTTCTTTAATATTGCAATTGTTATTCCCAGCAATGTATTTTCAAAATCTCTATTCCAAACGATATTTGCTAGTGTACGAGACTAAAAGAGAAATCATTGTGAATTGAAACCGATGGAAATAATGAAAAGGATAAATGTCATGGTCAATGGTCAACTCCTTCCAAGGACATACCTTTTAAGATTTCAGTTATACCGCCTCGAACGAGTGGAATTTTTAAACGAATATATATCTAGAACGTAGCATTGCACGTACACCGCGAAAGATATAGGAAAAAATCGACGGTTGAGATATATAAATTTTTTAAAAGGGTGGCAGTACGCGCGATGAAAGATAAAACCGGGTAAGGTTAGAATGCTTTCGCGTAGAAGGTTAGAATCATGTGTACGCTTTGCGTCGATAAACTATCAACCGATACGTAACGAGAAGCTTACGGTTTTTATAAATGTCCCATCGAGCTTTCACGAGGAATAAATGTAAATTAGTTTACCTGTTTCCCTCGAATCACGATTACGAGTGCGGCACCCGCTGCGGTGAGAGCCCACGTAAATAAGGTTCCCAGCAACGCCTGAGTGATCCGCGAATAATCCTTTATCATCGTACCGATCTTTCAGACCTCGGACACTTTAAACTCTACAACGCATCCTTCGTAACGTGAACAGTTCGCGGCAAACTGTTTCGTTGGACAGAAAATCTCGTTGACGTGCACTCAATCCCCCGTACTTATCTGAACTACCACCACCATCGCCGCGACTAACACTACCTCCTCCGCTCTTACTATCACAGGCTCAGCGGTCAGCGCGCATCAAGGCGCCGCCGCTTTATCGCTACCAACACACGCGATAGTCACACGGCATGATCTTGTTTCAACGCGGGCACTGTTAATAGTTATCGGCTAGGGTACGGCGAAATGCTTACGCAAGACTGGACGAGCATAAACAGGTAAAACTATCTTTAACACGTGACTATCACTTCTCACCCTCCTCATTCAAATGGGGTTACTTGCTGCTAGTTTGGCGCTGCTTTCTCCAGCAGTTCGCGTCGCTGGCCAGCAGGGCGCGCGCGCAGATCAACCAATCAGAGGCACGCTCCGTTCTCCATGTCGCGCCATTCAAATTGGTGAACTTCAATCGAGTGTTTCGTTCGTCGATTAATTGTGTCTTTAATTTGTGCCGGAGACAGGGTTAACGATAGAGCGATTAGAAATGTGTGACCGAGAACAATTGTCCAGTTGTCAGCGCCGGTTTTGGTAAGTGGTTTTTTGATAAATATGTAAAATATCTTGGGATTTGATTGTTTTAATGCTGATGGTAGAAGTTGGAGGTTGTCTGTGTCAGACTATTTCAAACACTTTGGTAAAGTACGCGACGATGAAATTACTGTTAGGAGTGTATAAAATGAAACTGTATTATTAGATTATTGGCAACATTGTTTATGTTGCTGCTCATTTGTGCAGAACCCTGCCACTAGATATGGTTAATATTTATTATTTCTTAATCTTGGTCTATGATTTTTAAGGCCAATATGACTTAAGGTAACCGATATAATTTTAGTGGAGGATTAACAGAATTTTAATAAAATATAAATATGGTAACTTACAATGGAACCGTATTAAAAACACTGCACGATCAGTAATTGTTAATACATAATATTGATCGCGGGAATTTACAATCAATTCTATATCATGAGTATAAGAGTGGGGAGGGCAAACTATTTTAACCATCGGTGTAGAAGAGATGACGTCTGTTGCCATCCCGTCAACGTGCTAACATGGCGTCTGCATCGGTAGGTGCACGGAACATTTCAATATACACGTTTTCAGTACATTGACGCCAAGTTTTTATTTAACTTCGCTGATTTCAATTGACCGTATCGGTTCATATAAAAGCTTATTAAAAGCGTTATCGTTTAAACTGCAAGAAGTTGATGTTCTTTCATTGCTCGTGTCGGAAGAGTTGTTATTGACATTTGTTCGTGAATTTCCGTACGTATATTTGCAATTTCAAATATGTCTGACATTAAGATGTACTTCGAATGTTTCCTAGACGTATTCGTAGAGAAATTGTTTCATTAATTATCAGTTTTTTCATTCGGCACCGATTCATTATTTTGCTGTTTGGTTATAATCTTCTTTCTTTGTTTATTTAGATTGTATACTAGGAAGGTAGACTATACATATTCTAGTTAAGTTAGATAGCGCAAGTTTTAGAGCAGTTTCTTGTTGCTCTTTAAACATTTCCATCGTTTTATTATTAGGTCCCTTTACTAATGGATGACGATACCATTGCTTTTGGGGAGGAGGATGAGGCTAGCCAAAATGCCAACAAACTCAAGTATATAGATTATAAGTTAGACGCATAAGATTACTCATAGCTTAGGTGTTATAATGTGAATTCATTAAATTTTTTAGACATCCATATGTCACCTTATTTCATTTAGCCTTCAGAATCGCTGCGATCGTAGTTTATATGTTGTGTGGCTGGTTCTCAAATAGTTTTATAGCTAGCTTCGTAACAGTCATATTACTGTTATCAATGGATTTCTGGACAGTTAAAAATATCACCGGAAGGTTAATGGTTGGCCTTAGGTGGTGGAATTATGTGGATGATAATGGAAAAAGTCATTGGGTGTTTGAATCCAAAAAGGTTTGTCTTATTACGTAAGAGATTTAGCGCTAAATAACTTAAGGTCACTTTCATTTTTTAAGAATAATTCCTTCACATTTTATTAAATAGTTCAAGGACTATTTAAGCTTTTACATTTTACGTTCTCAACACATTTCGCTCTGAACTCTTTCTAATTACACAAGAATGTAGAATTACACCATTATATGCAACACAGTACCAAGATTATTTTAAGTGCCAGTTATAAACTACAAGGTCTACTATGTACCCTGTTTTTCAGGGTGTTCAACAGAACCGCATTAATGCAGCTGAAGCTCGTATTTTTTGGTTGGCATTAATTCTTTGTCCATTATTGTGGTCAATATTTTTCATGGTGGCTTTGTTTGGTCTGAAATTTAAATGGTTGCTGCTTGTCTGTATCGCAATTGCCTTGAACGGCGCGAATCTCTATGGATACGTGAAATGCAAAATGGGAAATGACCGAAATATATCCGCGGCGACAAGCGACTTTCTCAGAAAACAGGTCATACAAAATGTATGTAAATTGAATGTACGATTATGGTATTAGGTGAAATAAGAAACTGGTACGATCCGTGACCATTGATTTTATCGTAGGTTGCATCGATGATGTCTAGAAGTCCACCAACGAATAATCCAAATCAACCAACTAATGTGATATAAAACTGCGATCCCGCGGCCCTTATTTAAGAGAAATGTTGCCATATCAGGCAGTGAAACGCGTGATCTTCGGCATTAGAAATAAACATTTGTACATAACGATAATTGTCCAATAGAATAAGTCCTAACGACATAATATAATAATAAACTGCTATCATAAATATGTCTCGACCTTTGTTTTCTTCACGATCATTTTAGGATAAAAATGAAAGGTACCCAGTCTGCCTTACGTTAGTTATTAGTTTATTGATGCCGCAAGGCAATATATAATGTACACGTTATTTCTCCTTGTCAACAGACTTCCTATTACACAATATTTAATTTGCATAGGTGTTAATTAGTAACATTACATTTATCATATTCACTTTAGCCTGTTGTATTCTTTCTGGCAAGAAAGTATCACAAAATAATTTCCCATTCTTTCAACGATATTTAGATTCGACTTATTTCTTTGTCTTTTCTCATTTTTTTTCCCCTTAAATTCACCGTTTCTTCCCGGAAATGAACGGCCGTGATCGCTCATGGTCACCGAGCGAGGATGAATTCGAGACGATCTTCACGCACAGTAACAATCTCGACGTAAATATTGCGCGGAGCATTGACGGCCGATTGTAATTTGTTACATTTATTAGAGACTGCTCCGGGAACGCTCGAGTTGCATGCATTATTATTCCGTTTCTCTTTTTTTTTGTTTAAGAAGAAGAATACAACAAACCACGTATTGCTATACAGTTTGGGATATAAAAAAATTATAAACATTAACAATAGACACGCAGCTAAGGTACAACATACACAAAAAAGTCTCGGAATGATACAAAAAAACGTAATCACGTTACGATCCGGTATCTTATAAATATACGAATATCGTGGACTTCTTCGTATTAGTAAATTCATCGAATACAATTTAACGCTACCAACTTATAA